CCTAGATGAGATGCAATATGCAAGTGTATGAATACATGGAAGTGCAATAGACAATGCATCGCATGCAGTAAGTAAGACAAGCACAAGGTTACATTAATATGCACAAGCACTTCGCATTGCCTACTTTAAATATCGCACAATTTATCATCCCACGATAGCAAAGAAGACGACAACACCAAGCATGACACAAGTTTCCTAAGATCTTAGGTACTCTAACTCAACCATTATCAAAGGTTTGAGCCACACTTAGCAATATACAAGCAAACAACTATAATTGGAATCTGTCAATTCCTGGACATGCAAACAACAGCTACAAGATTTAGCTATAACTGGAGTTACACAAATCCAAATGATTTGCAAGAAGACATTTTGGAAAGCTTATAAAATTATCTACATTTCATCTGTAATCATCATAGCATGATTCACAAGTTAAGTAGGTCGAAATTATACATTTATAGAAACTGGTCCACGATTGACAGAGAGTAGTCATTTCTGAAACTCAATTTTAAACAGGCATAACTCACAAACTACTTGGTCAAATGATATCAAATTTTAACAGCAGCTAGATACATAAATTATCTACAACTTTTGTATAAACAAGTTTCACAACAAAGCGCCTTATCATGAAGAACTTTGCTAAGTTCCCAGATCTGTCCAGAAACCACATTTGCAAGAAAATAAATATTAACTTATGTTGCAAACACATAATTAGGTAAAACCAACTTTACCAACATGTCACACATGACTAAAGAACACCAGAAAACCTAGGGTCCATGTCCAAATAAATTCTTTTAATGCATTTCTTAATTTATTTTAGATAACAAGGTGACTTAAGGAACATATACCAAAAGTATACAATAAATTCTACAAAAATTACAGTGGCTCACATATCCTCTCAATAGTCTACTGTACAAATTTCACTCCATTTGAATATGTATAGCAACCTCTATGAAAAAGACAAGTTGCTAAAGCAAGAAATCATGTGAGAGCAAGATAAACCAATAACTCACTCATACTTCATCCAATACTCATGAAATTTTTACCACACATCAACTATCACATGAGTAGCATGCCACAAAAATTTCACTTCATTTGGAGCCCTAGATCTACAGTTATGAAAAAAGACAAATACCACTAGCATTACAAACCTAGCTGCATAAATATATTTTTACAGCTACAACTTTAAAGTAAAACATGTAATATTATAGATCTATTGCATAGAGAATTTCACAAGGATTCCAAAAAGTCCACATTTACTATTTTACGAATTTCCTATGAATTACTATGATTTTCTAAACTTTCAGCCGATTTAAAACAAATAGGTCCCTCGAGGTACTATTCACTTGAGTCACTGACTTCGCAGTTAGGCCCCTTTACTTTGTCGAATTTGAGCCCGAGGCCCCTGGTCGCAGAACACAGCAGAGGAGCATGCCGGACTTGCTGTTGCCGGCCGAAGGAGGCTCGGCGGCGGCGGGGGATGGGTGCTGCAGCTGCGCCGGGCTCGCGCGCGCCTGTGGGCGTCCCTGGCACGGCCGGAGGTGGCTCGTGGCTGCTTGGCCACGCGCACCGGCGGCGCTGCCCACGGCGGCTTACCGGCGACGGTGCTCCGGTGGCCGATGGCTTGGATGAGCGTGCGCGCGAGGTGCAGCACGACGAGGCAAAGGCGGTGGTGCACGTGGCTGCGGCCGTGGAGGCTTGGAGCGGCGAGGACGCGGCGACAGCGAGGTTGGCCAGCCGGCCATGGTGGACGGCAGCGTGGGAGCGAGGAGAGCGCGAGAGGGAGCGATGGGAAGTGGAGGGAGTGAGCGGGAGTGGAGGGAGTGCCTCTGGCGTCCACCAGGAAGAGCGCAGGGGCGCTGGTGCACGCGGCATGGAGGTGGAACGCTGCTCGTGCATGGCGGCCACGCCCTGGACACGCGGCGTCCTTTGAGGCCTTTTACCGAGCACGTGGCGGGCGACGGTATGGCCGACGTGGGGAGCCTATTTGGGTTGCTTCCAGGCTGAATTTAGTAATGGGCCCAAAACAAAGTTTGCTCACCTTGGTCAGCTCTACATTTCTTATTAAGGGTGCCAAGTCATTTGAGCTATGGATTAGTAGGTAATTAAGCTACAAACTGCTAGTGTCAACACATTGATAACGGTTACGGAAATTCGCTTTCGGAGGTCAAAACTCGGTCAAACTCAGTGCAACTTTTTGCATGCTCTTCTCTATAATATAACCTTCAACTTTTATTTTTGGACCAACTCAAGTTGCTTAGCAAAATTTGGAGAACGCGGAATGCCAACGTCGTTGCTTAGCGAAACTGCTTAGGATAATTCTAAGTGTTGTAGACTGCAGCAAAATCAATCTTGTGCCCTTTGTTTGTCAAGCTTAGAGATAGATTTAGACTTAGGTCCTTCAATAAAGTTTGTAGTACACAAACTATACTACAACTTTTATTTAAGGTCAAACCTTGTATCTTGAATATAAACCATTCTTTTACTATGGTCAAAGTAGCATCTCGTTAACCCTAGAATTAGAGTTTTCAACCAATTGAGGCCTTTTCTTGACATGTGCTCAACACAAACCCTTCATGACTTTTGTTGTAGGGTTCATCTAGAGTCATTTGGGCAAGGTTGTAAGGTTTGGTTGATGACCTACAATTCCATTCACTTAATAGTGCAATTCAAGCACTTAGAAAAATCATTCCAATAAGGATATAACTTATCATTTCATGTGACTTTTTTGATTCCAAACTTCATGAAACTTTTCCACGGGTCTAGATGGATGCATGTGGATGTAATGTACATGGAATAAGCATGTTTAACATTACTCTTGCATAATCTTAACAATGGTCCATATGTAAGCAATTGTACGTGGCCCAAGTTTAAGTTGGAGCTCCATCATGTAGATTTGATCTTGACACCTTGATTACCACTTGACATGTCATGTTTGAGCTCAAACCCATTGCTTAACTGGTGATAAACACCGGGGGTGTTACAGCCCTCCCCCCTTAAAGGAATCGCGTCCCGAGATTCGGTGCGAAAGACTTTTATGGGAAGAGAAACTTGTCATCCAGTTTCCAACATCAGTGCATTAGGCTACTTAACTTTGGAGTATCAGAGAGACTAATTTGGTCACGACACTTTCTGATACTTGCTCTTTGTCGTAAGTTGTTGTCTGAAGAATTTCTTTCGTTGGCGTCCATAAAGCAGTGTTACATTGGAAGGAATCCAAGATAGCATTGTCCTGCGTACTTCATCCACGATGTACGAAGAGTGATACAAGCATAGACTAAATACTTGTAACATCTACTTCCCTAGTGGATATAGCATAGACCTATGGACTTTGCACTAGCCCACAGTCTGTTGACAGATATTCCTTGCAACGATGCTATATTTGACGTCGAGGCTTCCATTCTTAGGTCCATCAATATCTCAAAAACCATAATCCAAAAATCTATGGTTTGACACCTTTCCAATTACTTTTGAATTGCAAGGGCACAATTTGACGTCTAAAACACCTGGACTGCTCACGCATTGCTGATCTAAGAGGGCAAAAGCAAGGCACATAGGGGTGCAATTAGTCTTCTCAAGGGTATGGAGGGTTGTCTAACAGCAATACACCTAAAAGTTGTAATTTCTTGGCAAACTTTTTTTTTCACCCATGTCAAGTCGGGGACTTGAACCCGGGTGGGCAAGTTCCACCACAAAGAACCTATTCGCAATTTACTTTAACTTTAATAATGGGAGAACTGAGTAATATAGACTACTGTTATGTATCATAATGACCGTGTGAGTAATTTAGATGCTAATTCAAGGGTATTTCAAATTATGTTTCATGATGGAAGATATGATGGCCGGTAAGGGTAACTTATATGCAAATTTTGGGTTACTTTATGTTATTTTACATAATGCCATAGATGGGTAATTCTCAATGACTATTATTATCAATGGTTTCTAGGTAGGGTGCATTAAATTAATGACCATATCTTTCTGATTTTATTGAGAAATCTGTAAAAAAAAATCTGACGCGTCTATTGACAATCATGTGGAGGCTCGTTGGAGCCTCCAAATAGTAATACTAACAAAATAAATTGCTAAAATCTAGCCATGGGCATGGTAAAGTGAGGTATATCGCTCCCCATTTCAAATTATAGTTCATTTTGATTTTATTTTTTCAGAAGTTAAATCTTGTTAAGTATAGTTTAGTTTATAGAAACATATACCAACACTTATTTTTTTTAATAATGGTTATGTGGCATTGGCATCTCAGTTGACACCTTATTTTTAAATAATGGTTGCAAAATAATAGCACCCAATTTGGCAAGATGTCAACTGGACAAGGTGGATCTTTTTAATGTACTGCCTCTATCCAAATTCCAAAATATAAGCTACATTTAGAGTTCAAAATATGGATAGCTTATATTTTTCAAAATATGGACAAGGTGTCAACTGAGATGCCAACACCAACACTTATTTTTTAATAATGGTTGTAAAATTGGGTTTTATTATGCCTAAATGCTAATGGTTGTGTGCATGACCGAATGATAAAATTATTTCTTCCAAAGAAGTCAGTTTTACTTGCTATATACTCCTTTGTACCAAAATAAATGTCATTTCGCTTCCCGAGGAGTTAAACATTTTTAATTTTGAGCATATATATACAAAAAAATATTAATATTTATAGTGCATAATTATTATCATTAGATAGGTTGTTGAATTTATTTTCATAACAAATTTATTTGGAGATAAAAAATTGCTAATATTTACTATAAACCTAGTGAAATTTTAAAAAATTGATCGACATGGGTACCATAAGGATAACTTTTTTTTAGAATCGGGATATAGGGATAAAACGTACTGAACGCTAATAACCAGCAAAACAGATATGGACCCAAATCTTTTTTTTCAATCACAAAAATAAAACCCGCGAGAGCCCAACCCATATATAGCAGCCCATGCCCAGTTGGAAAGATCCCATTGAAACATACAGGGTCGAGTGGAACCAGACAGACAGGATGGCTGCCGCTCGCGCACGGGCGCTCCGCGCGCTGCTCGCAAGGTGCTCGACGGAATGCCGCCGCGGCACTTCCCCTTGCCCCTCCTCCTCTACCGCCGCCGCATCGTTCTCCAGCCTCAGCCGTGCGGTCACATCTCCCTCCCCACACGCCGCTCGCTCCCGGCGCCTCCTACCCGCGCCGCGCGCGGCGGCGGCGCACGTGCGGGCGCAGACGCGCTTCCTGGCGAGCGAGGCCGCGCGGGGCGGCGTTGGCGGGCGCGAGGCAACAACGGACGACGAGGAGGAGGCGGCGCAGGAGTGGACGGTGGAGTGGGAGGACAGCGAGGACGACGACTACGAGCCCGAGGTAGCTCCGTTCTGTTCGGCGACCCTGGCCAGGTCCCCCTTGCGGCTTGCGAAGTGGGGCTCTGACCATCAGCGCTTTTCTCCAGATCGGCGACGGCGGGGACGGCGGCGGGGTCGCGCTTCGGGGCGTTGAGTGGGGCGAGCGTGCCCTCGTGGCGGCCGAGGAGGTTCTCGCCGACCATTTTGGGGATGACGTCGCCTTGTTCGCCTTCAAGGTGTCGCCCAAGGGATACGTCTACGTGCGCCTCGACAAGCTGACCAACATGTGAGTAACGTTTTTCTCTCTTTCTATTTTGGTTGTTGTGCAGGCATTTCTTGGTCTCGTTTGTTCATTAGTGTTGTGCTTGCCCTTGGATGATTCAGAAACTGTGTGAATGGGTTCCGTGTGAAACTGTGAACCAATGTAGTTGGCTAAAACTGAAGTCATGTCCTTAGTGACAACTCGCTGCTAGTTATCTCAAAATTCAGTGCCCAAATTTGATGCCTTAAAACACTCTGGGAATGACATATTTGATGATATTTTGGCTTGTTATGGTGATATCATGATTGTATCCAATTATCCATTGTTCTAGTATACTATTCTCTGCATATCTCAGTCTGTTTATTATTATTGGTTGGCGGTGTGCTTGTATCTTCTATTCATTTATGACTTCATGTGCCATGCATTCTGCATTATTGATCTTAAACGATGCAGAACTGCAGATCTCACCAGAATGTCTGTATCATTTAACCTGATCAAGGTAACATGGTATTGAAGTTTCAATCTTATTCTTTGCCCTTTTTTATTGGGTATTGACAGGTATGGGTGCCCGGATATTGAGGAAATAGAGAATTTCAATAGGCTCTACAAGCAGAAGTTGGATGAGATCATTGAAAGAGGTGAAATATCCCTGGACCTGGCACTTGAGGCAAGCTACCTAACCGAATTGTAAACCAATGGATGCATCTGCAGCTCAGACCTACTTACAGAAAAGTTTTGGTCATTGCAGGTATCATCACCAGGTGCAGAGAGGCTTCTGAAGGTGCCCGAGGATTTGGACCGCTTCAAGGACATGGCTATGAGGGTGCAATACCTTGCTGAAGGTGATAATGACCTTATGTCGAAGAAGAACCAGGTGAAGGATGGCATCTTCTTGCTCGAGTCCGTTGACACTCAGGCTGAGCACTGTGTCTGGAAGCTGGCAGATGTCAAGGAAAACCGAGCAGAAGCTGGGAAAGGAAGGCCGCTGAACAGGAAGCAGAAAGACTGGAGGCTGCAGACTTCCTTCACAGCAGTGAAGAAGGTGACCTTGTACTTGGACTCAAACTAGTAAACCCGTGCCAGAAAGAATATGACTTATGAAAACTATCCTAACCCTAGTCGGACTCATGTTTTAATCTTTTTGGTCTAAGACTAAGTTGCCCACTGGCTGTGTCAGAATAGTGTGGTATATTTTTTGTGGACGCAAGTTACCTTGTAGTCTTGTACGGTATCACAATCTTATCTACTGAGGTTAACGAAGGTTGATCCAGCATCTGCACTGCTTGCAGCTCCAATATTTTGTGCATACTGTTTCACTTCTCATGCTTGATTATGCCTCAAGAATAAGGTTATGCTTGACATTTTTGGGAAAGGCTTGAAATCATGTTTTCCGGTGTCTGAATCATACAGATTATGTAGAATAGGAATGTTGGTTTTCTTTATAAAGCTATGTTGATAGATATCACATAGATTGGATATTCATGAAATTACTTTGCTACACTGGAGCTTTCTTTTTGAAAGATTTACACTGAAGATTTCACATTTGTAGTATAGTGTCACTTTTTTGTCCCTTTTTTTCTCCCCCTTTTGTTAAGGTAGTAGAGTGTCACTTGACTTGACCACAAGGAAACATGAGGAGCTGCAGATGCAACAACTTGTTGAGCTCAACCTCAGCCAAATGAACATCTGATCATGGTGTTGGCATGTTGGGACCGTTTGTGGTGTATGTACAACAAATACAGAACATCAAGTACTATATATCCATGATTTATTAACTCAATACATGTTTTGCAACTCTCATCACCAAGGAGTACGGCAAAAGGGAGAGTCAGAGTGTTTTTATTCAGTAGCAAGCTTGAATCTGAACATTCACACGAGGCACACCACAGAGTCAGGCTCCACGCCTGCTCCTTCTCTTGAGAAACCTTGCCGGGCTGAAAGGATCAAGGCCAACGATCTTAGACTTGCCATCGAGGATGAGCTCCGCGAGGGCCGCACCGGTGGCTGGACCATTGAGGATGCCCCAGCAGCTGTGCCCGGTAGCCACATAGCACCCCTTCACGCCCGGTATCTCCCCGATGACCGGCAGCCCGTCGGTGGTGCACGGCAGGTAGCACGCCTGCTCCGCCACCACCTCAGCGCCCTCTTCCTTCTTCAGCTGGCTGGACACTTTCCCTGCGATCTTATGCAGCATTGCAATCGAGTCTGGCTCGCCTGTTATCGTTGCTGGGTCATCCGGCGGGTTCTCGTCCTTGCTCATCCCGCATATGTACACCTCCCCTGAATGCGCAGAGACACGAGCAGCGAGAACAAGATGAGCGGATTGGGCAATTGAAGCTTAGTAGTTGTGCAAGACTTTCAGCAGGTACGTGGCAGGCAGCAATGGCGTACCGGTGGGCCGCGGGTACACCTCGGGGTCAAGCATCTTGGCGCCGGGCTCCGGCTGGTAGCTGAGGAAGAGGCAGTGCGGCGTGATCTTCTCGGGCTCGCGCGGCCGGAGCACGATGCTGTGCGCCTTGAGCCCGGACACGTCGAACACCTCGCGGACGACCTCGAGGCGGCCGGACCAGGGGCCAAGCGCGAGCACGACGGCGTCGGCGTCCACCACGGCGTCGCGCCCCTTCACGACGACGCCGGCGACGCGGCCGTCCCGGGCCACGACGCGCTCCACCTCGCCGATGACGACCTCGGCGCCCGACGCGGCGAGGACGGCCTTGGTGAAGAGGCCCGGGTGGAACTGCGCGGTGGTGTCGGGGGTCCCGAGCTCCCTCGGCGGGGCGGCGGACGCGGAGGGGTCGACCCAGGGCGGGAGCCGCGGGTGCGGCGAGGCGGGGGCGGGCCCGGGGTGCGTGGGCAGCAGGACGGAGAGCGTGTGGACGGGGCGGAAGCCGTACGCGTCGGCGCCGCCGAGGGCGTCGGCGAGGCGGCGGTGGAGCGCGAAGGAGGCCCGCGCGAGCCTGGAGAGCGCCGGGGTGGAGTCGCACCAGTCGAGCGCCAGGAAGCCGCCGGCTTTCCCCGAGGCGGCGCACGCCGGGGCGCACTTCTCGACGAGCGTCGGGACGGTGGGGGACGCGGCGTGGGTGGAGAGGAAGTAGGCCGTGCACGCGCCCACCACGCCGCCGCCGCAGATGACCACGCGGCGGGGCGGGGACGCGGCTGCCGGCGCGGCGGACATGGGCGGCGACGCGGCGTCAGGCTAGGTGTGCGGTGCGGCGGCGCGGGTGGGGCTCAGACGCTCTCACTGGAAGCGGAAGTGTTTGGAAGCAGGGGAAGACTTGTGCTTGTGCACGATATGTATGGTTGGTTCTGGAACCAAGAAGGCGGCGCTGCCCGCTACACTCATGGCAGGCTGCGATCTGTGAACTGTAATCACTGGATCAGTCAGCTCGGATGATCCAATTTGCTACTCCTACTATTAAAGCCCATCTGTGCTTGACACAAATGCTGGTATATCCAGACATCCAGTGAACAATAATCCAATTTGCTGCTTGATTGTGTCAGTAATATACCCCTTTGAGTTTCAGACACTGACACTAAGCCAAAATGATATGCTAGTACTTATTCTTCCGTCCCCAAAAAATGACAATTTAGGATTTAAGATTGTTCCAGAGAACATGTTATTATTTGGATCCCGGAGAACATGTTGTTTTAGCATTTGGATAGACAGTGAGGTCAACAGAATTGATTGCCTTCCATATTTGCCTAAGTTGCATGCTGATATTTCTCTCTCTGATTTTAAATCGATCTCATATGTGTGTGCGAGGAAAGAAAAAACTTCTTGTAATTCTCAAAAAAAAAGAGAAAACATTACAAGTTTTTTTTCCCCTTTACGACGGAGACGCTTGAGGCCAGCGGTGCTATCCTGAGACTGAAACTTCCAACCATCTTAAGGAGGACATATTTCTCTAAGATGTCATCCCCAGAGGACCAGATGCCTAAAAAACTAAGGTACACGTTCGTCCCCTACTTGTAGTGTTGTTCTCCATTGGTCGCTTTCTTCATCTTTCCTCCTATTTGGTTAGAAGTGGGGAGTCACGACACCGTGGTCGAGAGCAGCCAGAGGAGCAGGGTGCGGAACGTGGGCAAGGGCAGTCGGATTCGTTTGGTCAGGGTGCAGCACTATAGGCGAGGATGGCCGGAGCAACAACGCCGACCAACGACCTCATATTACAAGCTCTACCTCTTGATGAACCTAGATGACGTCGAGCTCAAGTAATGTGACTGCATCATACCCTCCCACATCCCCCTTCTTTCCTCTCGATCTATCCTCCCATGGTTATCCCACACTGGCAAGTTCCTCCCCTATCGTAGTCCAGGGCTCTAGGCCCCACTTAGCAAACCGCTAGACTCGCCCATCTTATATATGGGCTCATGTGCCATGATATAATCTCATCTCTTCTGCATTTGCTAACTGCCATGGACCTTCTTGGTTGCCACCATGTTCTTTCTCTAGCATTGAATTGCTTCCTATGGCGTAGGGAGGCTCGATTTGGCCACATCGGCGGGTATATTATCTGATCCTCTGAACGTCTATACCATCCTTACAAGTAAAGCAGTAGTTTGTGACCTTTTTCGTTCCGGAAATGCTCTTCTTAGGGTGTTTGGGCGTTCGGACGCTCCCCTTGTCATGGGCCGTGACGGGCAGAATGGCCCACTGCGTCTGTCCTCAACAACTCCACTCCAGAAGTTTGTAAAAAAAGTCCACTCGGCCAGACACAACCTCCACTCGCCCGCGTCGCCGTGGGTTCTGGCGTGGTCCACTGTAACAGAACCGTCCAATTTATAAGAGCACAAGTACAATGGCAGCCCGCAAGCGATCGTACTATCATATTTGAGCCCATATAAACCCGGTGGTCCGTCGAGTACCACGAAGGGTCTCAATTCATCGCTAACATACAATCAAGATCGTACATGATTCAACATACATGTTGCATGTTACATAGAGTTCACAAATACATTGCCATACATCAGAGTGCGATTAAAATTATTACAAACCAAGTTCAAATAAACTAGTAGCGGAAGCAAAGTAGTTTTAAAACCAACATCTCACACCATTGTTTAATACAAAGCCAGTTTGTGATCATCACCCACAAAAACATCACAGATAAGATATATAAGTAGAAGCGCGTTGATCGGGGCCTACTCCTCATCCACAGCGGGACAGAAGAAATTCTTACAATAGCCGTGAAAGACTGTGTTATCTGCAACAAGTGGAAAATAAACCCTAAGTACAAGAAGGTACTCAGCTAGACTTACCCGTCATAAACAAAAAATAAAGTGACTCCAAGGATCATGCAAGGCTTTCTAAATGGAGCTAGTTTGACAACATTTTGCATAAAAAGACATTAATCCAGCTATACATTTTATAATTCGGTCATCAAGTTAATTATAGCTATTCACCTCTAGATTAGCAACTAACCTATGTGTCAGTGTTTTCGGACCACCGATAAGTATATTTGTATTTGCGCGTCTGGCTCGGATGGTGTGCTCGGAGGACATAAGGGTTTATACTGGTTCGGGCAGAACGTCCCTATGTCCTACGTGCGAGAGAGGGAAAAGATCCCAAGTCTCTGGTGAAAGAAGTGAACGGGTGCTGAGAGCCCAAGCGCTGCTCAGCCGTGTGTTCGTGTCGTGTTCTTGTATTTTCTATCTCGTGGTCCAGGTCTTGTGCGGATCTGGCTCTCCCCTTTTCATAGGGTGCCATGCTCTCCCTTTTATAGGCCAAGGGAAAGCGCGGGTTACAGCGGAGGAAACGGAGAAGAACGAGAGAGAGGAAGGCTTCCAGGATTATCGTGTCCTTATTCTCCTTCATGCGGGTCCCACCCACCCTGTTGATGTCAATAGGGACGGCTCCACATCGTGGCCCTGTTCATCACTGGCGCCATGCGCAGGTGTCATTTGCTAGTCATGGCGTCCCATTCCGTCCCGGCGGGCGTTGTGGTGAACTGACGCACCTGTCAGCGTTCGTACGAGGGTTAGGCAGAACAGCACCAGCATGTCCGACGCTGTTCTTGATGTGAATCCTCAGGTATGGCCTGTCTTGGCCACGGGTTACATCGGGGCATGCCGGTCTTTTCCTTGGTGTCAGAGTTTTGACCTAGGCCCATACGCTTGGACCTGGAGTGATTGACGGCGGTATGGGTCCCTGTCGGGCGAGACGGAGCCTACAGCCGAGGGGTCGGGCGACACGGGGCACAAACCCAAGGGTCGGGCGAGGCGGAGCCCGCACACCTGGGGGTCGGTTGGAGCTGTAGTCGCACTCTTGACTGCTCGGATGAATCAATGTTGATGACCATTAGCTCCTCCTCTTCGGGCACCCTAGTATTGGTCCCCGACAGTAGCCCCCGAGCCTACGGAGGAGTAGAATATTTCTTCGGAGGCTTTTCTAAACGGGAGAACTCGGAGGGCCTTGGCCTTCTTTTTGTCGCCCATGGCGTGTCTTGGGGACGGCGATTCTCTTTCGTCGTGATCGGACCCCTCAGAGGTATAGCCATGAGATTTGGTGGGTCAAAAAAGGTCTTTCCTGATTTCGACCCCTACGGGGGTCTATCGTTCTGTGACCGCGCGTTCAGTCTCTTTACGAGTCCAACTTTCCTCGAGCCCCCACCAGTAGCAGGGGTCCGGTCGGGGGTCAGCTCTTCTTTGTGATTGTCTTCCCTCAAGCGTTTTTTCTCGATAAAAATAGAGAGGCTGAGTCGTGCCATGATTTTCCTTTATGGATGAATCATGGTGCTCGGTGAGCTGTTACGGGCTACTCCGAGTAGGGCCCTGGCATCCCATTTGCGGGGGTACGGCTTGGGTCAGCTGGTGACCGACTCTAGATTCTCAGCGGTCAATCCATATAGTTCTTGGGTCCGGTCGACCGGTCCCGAGGGCTCTCTGGTTTATTCGAGGAAAAACCATAAATCATATCCGGCCGAGACTCGAACGTGGGCCGAGATGCCCACGGCGCTTATGCGCCTGGGTACTGGCCGCTAGCTGGCCCATCCCTTCCCACCCCTCACTCTAAAGGTGCCCGGAGCGGTTGTCGAACCTGGCGGTGGGCCCACCTTCGAACTCCTAGGCCTAGACGGGCTGTAGGAGCGTTTTTATCTCCGTATCCCTCTTACCTATGACGGGTCGTGACCCGTTCGGGGAGGCGAAATGTCCGGCACATTTTCTGAGAGGACGGCCATAGGTTGCATCCGCATGCCCCATGACGAGAGGTGGTGACAGGTCATGGCAGGCGCGGAGATCTAGGCGGGCGGTTGGTTTCCTCGCACCCGTCGCCCCTATAAAACCAAAGGGTTAGCCCTCCGTGTTTCATACGCACGCCCGCATCCTTACCTCCATAGCCACACTGCCGCCGCCAACGCTTAGGTTTCCTACCTCCGTATCTCCACCGCCGTTGAGCTCGCATCCATCCGCCCCCATCTCCAATGGATCCGTGGTGCCGTTCTGACATCACCCTCTAGTGCATGGAGGGCCTCGTCAGTCGCGGTCTTCTCCACGCGCGGACCTCGCCCGAGGAGTGGTTGCTGCCCGACGACGAGATTCCTGTCGCTGCCCGATGGCTACGTGGTGTCATTCGCCCACTTCCACTAGCGTGGGCTCGCGACCGCCGCCCACAAATTCCTCCGGGCTGCTGCACTTCTACACGATTGAGCTGTAGTATCTCAATCCCAATGGGATCTAGCACATGGCGGCGTTCGTTGCGCTGTGCGAAGGATTACTGGGGATCAGTCCCCACTTTGACTTGTGGAGGTATTTCTTCGCCGTCATCGTCTAGAAGAAGAGGGAGAAGGGCGGCAGGCAGGAGCTGCACATGCCGATGGGGTGCGTCGACATCCAACTTCGAACAATGGGGTTGGAGAGTACCCGTCCATGCGGCTCTCGACGTCCAATAAGGGGTGGCACTCACAATGGTTCTACCTCAAGAATGACACCACTGCCCCTCTGCCGGAGTTCACCGGGCGCCCGATCGGAGAGGCCCTAGAGCAGTGGAGGAAGTGGGGCGTCCCGGAGAAAGACAAGAAGAAGATCTGAGACCACATCGCCACCATCCACATCCTGAAGGAGAATGGCCTAAAAGGGTCGGGTGTCATCGGGGCTTACCACGCGAGGAGGGTGGCGCCGTTGATGATGCGCGCGCTGCCGCTATACGCGATGGCGCCCGAGGCGTCGTTCGATAGAACG